GCTTGCGTACACTACAGCGCCGGCGTACATGTGTACACCGCAGCTGCCATGTGCAACACAGCGCCTGTGTACACCACAGTGCTTGCGTGCACCGCAGCGCCTGTGCACGCCACAGCGCGCGTCTACACCACAGCATCCGCGTGCAACGCAACGCTGGTGTACACCACAATGCCTGCGTGCATAGGACATGTAGAAGGAGCATGTACGTGAGGATCTGCTGCGGCCAAATAGACGCCACGCGAGGAAAGTGCTGAGAATCGAATGCGACGTTCTTCCCTCCTCCCTCCTCCACATCCACCACCTCCTCCTCCTCCTCCTACTCCTCCTCCTTTTCCTCCTCCTCCTCCTCCTCCTCCTCCTCCTCCTCCTCCTCCTCCTCCCCCTCCTCCTGCTTACCCCCTGTCGTGCGGGTTGGCGCTACAGCGCACGTGCGCATCTCAGCGCGCACCGCAGAATGGTCTATTGAATCGGTCCACTTAGTTCTCGGACGGCCAATTTACCTGGAGCCCCCTGGACGCAGATGGGAAGAGTTAGGGTGATGCGGGCGGATTCGGGAGGACTCATAGATTCCAGCGGCGCTCCGTTGTCCATAAGGATTGTTTTCTATTGTCTTCTGTGGAATGCACAAGAGCTCCATTTTGTCATAAGGATTAGTTCTAGCATTCTATATACAACAGTGGTGCTGTGTTGCACACGGTTGCTGCGGTGCACACAGGCGCCGTGGTGCACACAGGCACTGCAATGCACGCAGGCATTGTGGTGTACACTGGTGCTGTGTTGCACACGGCTGACGTGGTGTACACAGACGCTGCGGTGTGCACAAGAGGTGTTGTGCCCACAGGCACGGTGGCACAAAACTGACGCTGTGTTGCACGCGGCTGCTGTGGTGTACATCGGCGGTGTGGTGTACACAGGCGCTGTGGTGCACGCAGGCACTGTGGTGTACACAGGCGTTGTGGTGCAAATCGCCACCCACATGCTGGCGCTACCCGTCCTCCGTCATTCCTAGGCATTCCCATACGCCGCCGGCGCGAAACGTGACGTCATCGACCCCCATCCCCCCCCTAGATGATTGCCGTCACCGGCCGGGAATAAAAAACAGGTTTCAGCCGCGTCCGCGCGCACGACGACTATGAGCGACGAGCGACAAGCCACGGGCGACGACGACGACGACGACGACGACGACGACGACGACGACGACGACGACGACGACGACGACTGCGGACCAGACTCCCATGCGGATTCCTACGCGGACACCTACGCGGATCCCAATGCGCACGGCGGCAGTGCCCGGAGCGCACTGGGGGGGGGAGCGTTACGTCATAGGCGCGGGGGGGAGCGGGAGCCATGACGCCCGTCATGCCCCAAGCAATAAAGAAACGGTCTCCTCGTCGACTTCGGCCAGAGGTTCCAGCCCGCCTCTTGCCCTCTCGACTGGTGCTGACCCTGCAAACCGACGACGACGAAAACACAGTGCTACGATGCCGACTGACGGTGCAAGGTTTTAAGGACCCCAACGTACTTGAGAAGGTCAGAGCTGGGAAGACCCAGAGTCCGGCACTATCTGCGACAAGCAAGGCCACGGTTTTGCTTTTGGTGGCCTCAACTGAATTTCAGCTGGTCTTGGGAAATATTCGCGGTGCATTCTTGGAGGCCGACCTTGAAGAACGACCCAAGGGACCAGTGTCAGTAGCAGCGCCCAGGAACCACACTCCAAAGGGACACCATCCTGACCAACCGAACGAGCTTGTGAATGGCTACGGCGTGATTGACCAACCACGGAGATGGTTTTCGACTTTTAAGCGCTACGCCGAAGAGATCGGCTTCGTGGCTCATCCTCTCGACCCGTGTCTTTTATGATGTTCGAGCTTGTGCAGGCGGGGCAGACGGTACCAGCGGAGCCTGTGTGTGTGCCGATCGGGCCCTCGCGACGACAACAGGGGCTTCATGTGGGCTGATGGGTGCCCATTTGGAATTGGAAGAAACTGACACAACGTGTTTCCTGGAAAAACTGGAGGCATGGTTCTGGAGAACTTCTGGCTCCTGGCTACAACAGCTTGAGGACGGGACGATGCTTCAATCTCAGAAGACAAATGCCGAATCAATGAAACCAGTGAAACTCAAACGCTGTGCCGTGAATGAAAGTAAGACTCTACCAAAGGAGACGTCCACGCTGATATCGATGAATCAGGCCGGCAATAGGCTGGCCGGACAGTCGAGGCCGGATCCCTCGTGCAAGGTAAACAGGAACCAGCAGCTGTTACCGCATCCGAGCGCGAAGAAGACAAAACATACGAACATGCTGGTGCGTCGAGCTCGTCAGCACAAGGACCTCACTGTCTAGTATTTTCCCATCCCGTTCAAGCAGCTCCGATTGATGATCCACATGGATTTCGCCACGGGTGAAAACGAGGGTCTCGAGAAGACCCAGGACGGGTCTGTGCTGAGTGTGAAAACACCTGGTACGCAGCAGGGACGGGCATCTCCGTGGAATTATATTGTTTGGGGAAATGATCAGCTTGAGCGGGGGATGCGATCATCTCTGGGTGGGGAGGCTTCTGCGTTGGCCGACTGTCTTGGGCATCTGGACTTGGTCAGGTTTTCTTTGCAGGCTCAAGGTTTCCCCAGTTTACCCTGGAGAACCGGTATGCACGAGGGCTTGTAGGGGAAGGGCTGGTGGGACGCGGAAGGACATACCAGTACTGTCTATTTCTGTTGGAGGCGCAAGTCCGACCCGAGCATGTACAGTGCGGGCGCGGCCGCAAGAAACCCTCGCAAGAAACCCAACCCTGAGAGCCCGTGCGCGAGGTGCACCTGAGGGGAAACCTGGAGCACCCTGAACGCAGCGGCTCCTTCGGCTGCTGCGGGAGGTCACCGCGCAGCGCGAGGAGCGAAGAAACCCAGGATACCCTGACGAACAGCACTTGGCTTCTTTCTGCGCGCCCCCACTGTGGTACACAGTCTTGTGGTCGACCGTGTCCCGAGCGACGTCGCCGGACAGCGCCCGCCCCGGAGCTCGTGCCGCGGGAGTTCCCCGAGCGCGCGCGCTGCCCGTGCGTGGCCGACGCGCGGCCAGTACTGGCAGGCCTGGACGGTGCTGAGCTCGGGGCGGGGAGCAGTGGCGGAGGACGCGAGTGATGGGCATGCGTTCCACCACCACCAGCAGAAGTTGGAGGGGGAGGGGGTCCTCCTCCTCCTCCTCCTCCTCCTCATCCTCCTCCTCCTCATCCTCGTCCTCATCTTCTTCGTCCTCCTCCTCCTCCTCCTCGTCCTCCTCCTTGCCCCCATCCAACTGATGGTGGTGGTGGTGGAAAACGGGCCCATCAGTGAGGGCACCGCGTCACTGGAGTAGCCACCGAACCTCGGAGCGGGCAGCGCTTGCCTGAAGGGGCATCGTTACACTGGCCCCGCACTCCTTGTGAAGAGCATGGTGATCTGGAGAACTAGCCTCGGTGCCCGCAAGGGCTTCCCTTCTTGTTCCGCACTTGATTCGCACAGCTTCTCCCTGTTGGCCTTGTCTGCCGTGGTGATAGGGAGTTTGATTGATCAACCACGTCGAAGTAAGGTCTCGTGCTTCGACGTTCGACGTCTTCAGACGCTGCGCCTACTCTGGGGAGATTCAGTGAGTGCAACGCAAAAGGAGGAGGAGGAGGAGGAGGAGGAGAAAGATGGATCATGAAGGAGGAGGAGGAGGAGGGAGAGAAGAAGAGGGAGGAGAAGTGCCTACTCCATGTCCTTGCGGGCATATGTCTTTGCTCTCGGCTCTCAACGTGCTGCTGACTGTCGCGCTGAGGCCACGTCGTCGAAGCTCCCTAAACAGCGCTTCCACTTAAGGCTTCGCATGATGCTTTCTTAAGTTTGGCGGCGCGCACAAGGGGGTGGAGGGAGGGGGGAGGGCTTCTTAGAGGGAGGCCGCTTCTTAGAAGGCGCCGGCCCTACACCTATAGACAAGGCCCGCGCCTTCTAAGAAGCAGGGTTTTTTCTAAGAAGCCCTCCCCCCTCCCCCCTTTTTTGGGGTAGGTGGATCTCTGAAGCTCTCCGCCGCTCTGGCGGTGTGCGTTGCGAGCAGGAGCACCGGTTGTGGCTTTGCTGCGTTCCCGCTCGCCACGCACACCGTCAGAGGCGGCGGAGAGCTTGAGAGATCCACCTGCCCAGAGAGCCCCCTCTGCGCGTGGCTGAGAGATGGCGGGACGCGCCTCGTGAGTTCTCGCCGCGACGGCGCCCGTGCCCGCTCGTGGACGCGCCGCGGAGCGCTCGCCGTGCGCTGAGGTGGGCTTCCCGCGGGCGCGCCCCGCGGGCGAGGCCCGGTGCCCGCCCGTGGGCGCCTCCGTGGGCGCTCCGGGCGCCGGGTGGGGATTCGCCTCGGCGGCGCGTCGCCGAAGTCAAGAAACCGGTGCCCGCTCGAGGTGCGCTCTCGTGGGCGCCCCGTGGTGCGCCGGGTGGGTGTCCAGAGATGTCGCCTCGGCGGCGCGCGTGCCCGCTCGTGGGGCACCCCGTGGGCGCGCCCCGTGCGCCTGCACCGCGGAGCTGGCCTTGGGCACCGCAGCGTGCAAGAGGCAGCTCACACCACGCAGCTCGTGACCGCAGCTCGTGGGCAGCGGATCTCGCACCGCAGGGGTTGCACTGCGCAGCGTCCACCGCATCGATCACAACGCACGGCTTGCACAGCATACCTCACGCCACGTCGCTCGCACCGCTCAGCTTACACAGCACAGCTTACACCACAAGGCTTGCACAACATAGCGTGCACCACATAATTCGCATCGCAACGCTTGCACAACAGAGTTCGCACGACCTAGCTTCCAGTGCACTAGCGCGCTATTTGGGGTCCACGTTGGCTCACGTTGCTTGTAAGCACGTACGCCTGGGAAGGCTCCAGCTTACGCTAGCCCGCACAACATCAAAAAAGCGAGGAGGAGCAGGAGGAGGAGGATAGAGAGACGAAGGAGGGGTGGCAGGGAGAAGGAGAACGACGACGAGGGAGAGCGTGGCGTCGTGGCCTCGGCAGGCGGGTCGGGCAGCATGGCCACGGCAGCCTCGGGCACCGCGGGCTCGGGTGCCGCGTGCGGCTTCGAGCCGACGCCCCGGCGGTTTGCCTGGAGAAGGAGGAGGAGGAGGAGAAGATGGGGAGCAGGAGGACGAGGGAGGAGGAGCGGGAGCAGGAGACGCGGGAGCGGCAGGAGGATCGGGAGGGGCAGGGGGAGCATGGGCACGAAGGAGCAGGGACAGCAGCGGGAGCAGCAGGAGCAGCAGGATAAGGAGGACAGCGAGGGCGAGGAGTGGAATTTGAGGAGGAGCAGGAGCAGGGAAGGGGAAGACCAGGAAGAGTAAAGAAGGGGAAGAGGCGGAAGCAGAACAAGCAAGAGGAGGAAAAAAGGCGCAGGATGAGGAGGAGAGGAGGCGCAGCAGGAGGGGGCTGCCCGGCGGCCACTCTCCGCGACGTCAGCCTTGTCAGTCTGCACCTCTGCGTCCACGAGCTTCTTTCTCTCAGCCAGCTGGGGCTGCTCCACCACCTCCCCGCCTTCCCCTTCCATTCCGTACCTTCACCTCTCCCCTCCCATTCCCCCTCTACCCCTGCCCCCCCCCATGCATCCGAACGACATCCTCGGATGATCCTAGGCTGATTCCAAAAAGCAGCACCAAAACAATAACAACACCAACATCAGCGGCAGCAGCACCACCACCACTAAACACGAACAACAACACCAACAACAACAACAACAACAACAACAACAACAACAACAACAACAACAACAGCAGCAGCAGCCGCAGCAACAACAACAATCATTTTAAGACTGTTCGCCCTTATCTGCTCGAGTGTCGAATAACGCGAATTTCCCAAACCTTCGATACCCGCCCTTTTCGTCTTCGATCGAACTCCTTTTGGGGGGTATACCTTTCTTCCCTGCAGGCCGGGCCCCGGCAAGCGGCGGGGCGGCCGCGGACCGTCGGCCTGGCCAGCGGCAGCGCTGATCGGCGGGGCGGCCGCGGACCGTCGACCCGACCCCAAGAGGGACGGACAGGGGACCGACCACGACGACGACGACGACGACGACGACGACGACGACGACGACGACGACGACGACGACGACATCGACGACGACGGCAACGACGGCGACGGCGACGACGACGACGAGCGAAAGCGAGAGCGAGAGAGAACGACAGCAGAGCCACGAAGGGAATGCGTATGGGGCCACGAAGAGCGCGAACGAGCGTGGGCCACGAAGGGCAGATAATGCGGGGCCACAGAAGGCAACGATGGGGCCACTGAGGGTAGCAACCTGGGCCACGTAGGACAATGAGGGGGCCACAAACAGCGACAGCGGGGCCACGAAGGGCATGCACATGGGGCCACAACGGGCGCGAACGAGCGGGGGCCACGAAGGGCATACGTATGTTGGGCCGCGGAGGGTACGGACGAGGGCAGCAACGGGGACACGAAGGGCAGCGAGGGGGCCACGAAGGGCGACAGCGGGGCCACGAAGGGCATGCATATGGGGCCACTACGGGCGCGAACGAGCGGGGGCCACGAAACAAAGCGAGGGGGCCACGAAGGACTGCAACGGGGCCACGTAGGGCAGCGATGGGCCACGAAGGGCTGCAACGGGGCCACGAAGGGCTGCAACGGGGCCACGAAGGGCAGCGAGGGGGCCACGAAGGGCTGCAACGGGGCCACGAAACAAAGCGAGGGGGCCACGAAGGGCTGCAACGGGGCCACGAAGGGTAACGAGGAGGCCACGAAGGGCTGCAACGGGGCCACGGAACAAAGCGAGGGGGCCACGAGGGCTGCAACGGGGCCACAAAACAAAGCGAGGGGGCCACGAAGGGCTGCAACGGGACCACGAAGGCCAGCGAAATCCCGATTCTTAGGTAATCTGTGAAGGAGTCCTAAGCGTGAACGCGACTCCTGGGTGCCTGGGTGTCGGGAGCGCGGCGCTGGAGTAAATTGCAAGAAATTCCAACGCAGGGGCGCTATTCTTCAGTAAATTGCAAGCAAGTCTCCAGCGAGAGCGCGACTCCAGAGCGCAGGAGAAGCGATTCCTGAATTACTCGTACGGAAGTCCAAAGCGAGAGCGCGATTCTTGAATAAAATGCGAGGAAGTCTCGGGCGGGAGCGGAGGTCCTGGCTAAATTGTAAGGAAGTCTCCGGCGGGAGCCGTTGTTGTTGTAACCCGGGGGCCAGGGGGCCAGTTTGAGCAGGAAGACTTTCTTTGACAAAAAACAAGGTGCGAGCCCCGGGGGGGCACTTCAATTGAAAAAATCAGTGTGCACCGGCGGGGGGGATCAACAATAAATATTCTCCAAATGAGAGTTCAACAACAACAACAACAATAACAACAGCAGCAACAACAACAACAGCAACACCAACAACAACGACAACAACAACAACAATAACAATTACTAGCACGTGGGGACACACCGTTCTCACCAGTGCCAGGGTTTTCATAGGAGGCGGGCAATACCCCCACTTTGTGGGGGGGCCGGTTCAAGCTCTACCAAATTTCCAAACGACTCTTCGCCACCACCCACACCCAGCTTCCCGCCCTATGACGTTCGGACACTTCACTTCGTGGCATGCGGACGACCGTGGCTACTATTCAGGGCCCCGCGGCCGACGACGACGGCGTGCGCGCGCGAAGAAAAAACGAATGTGTCCCGCATGGTATTATTTGACAGGGATGATGGCCCTGGCAGGTGCGCAACCGTTGTTGCAGAAGTTCGAAAAAGTTGCTCGCAAAAGCCCGTTTGACAGAAATGTTAAAAAAGTGTTGGGTTTCCTACGAATCCGCAAGAGCGCGCGGGATGAAATTTTGACATTTTTTTTTGAAAAACCATTGGTTTTTTATGTTTTTATGTTAAAATCGCTACGAAAACTAAGGTTTTGGAAGGATTTCGTCTTGCGCGCGCGAATGTCCACTTTACCTTGTTTTTTTGCAAGGGATTCTTGAAGTTTGGTTATGTTAGAACAAGAAATGTCCACTTTAGCTTATTTTTTGCAAGGGAAAACCGATC